CCGGAGGGTTTTGCTTAAGAGGGTACTTTAGCTGAAGGCTTCTTACCTGAAAAATGAACCATATTTGGAAAATGTAAGATTGAGTGGTTCTTAAGTTGCTCGCTGACAGAGTCTGCGTTAATTATAGCATGTGAATCATGTACCATTTGTGGCCATAATAAAGAAAATCTTTGACAAGAGATGGGCGAGGCGCCGATAACATTTTCGATAACCATAAATATCATAGCTCTAATCGCGCGAATGACTCAGACGTTAGTTAAATTAATAAATCTTTTGTGATGCCTCGCACCCACGCGTATGCTATGATGTGTAATAGGCTGTAATATGATGCGGAATCAGCATTGATTAAGGCCGCGGCTAGAACGCAGCTTCTTCTCGCATCTCCTGCTCGTCCTGTGACATTTTCTTCGTGACATTTTACCTCGCGATTCTTTAATTACATAACTTGAACAAATTTTTATCTCGTGGCCACGGCTTCCCTGTATATCCCACGTTCCTCGACGCTTCTTCGACGGAGAATAGAGAAAAACGTTTATTGAGTCATTATACCATCCTGTTGAGCATGTGACATTTTCAACAGTATCGTTTTTCTCCACATTTTAACACTTTACATAATCCTACGAATGTTTATGTATGCTATGTTTTCTTTTAGCCGAATAATCGAGGTCGAATAATCGGGTCATTTATATTGCTTGCAAATGCATTACTCAAATATGTTTAAAAATCTGACAGTTTGAATTTTATGTTCAAGTTTTTTTCCAGATTATAACAATCGTAAAATTTTTTCTTCTACCTAAAGCATTTCGTTATTCAAAGAATGACCGAAAGAAAAGCCAAAGAAACCTTTATATTGTTTTCAAGAATCATAAAAAACAGAAGAAACTCGCTCGGACAAAGAAACCGCAGTGTAGATTTCCAATATTAAACACTGCCGTTTAAATATTTACATACCGTAAATATTTATTAAACGCGTAGTTATCCATTCTGACTCATAATAGTGACGTACGTTCGACAAGATGACGTTATCAAAAATTTGCGGTGAAAGTTCGAGTGACGTTATGCTTTCAAACGCGTCATTGTTGTCGTTACATTCACGCAGGGATGCATGTGACGTCAAAATGAGCGAATAAGCGAAGAGAAAGAACGCAACGTTTCGACGTAGTGTTTGGAAGAAAGAAAAAACCATCTGACGTCACTCCCAACAACCATCTGAGATTTAATATAAGGTATAAGCTCAATATGACATTGCTAGCGTGATTCCGATGATTTGACTCATCACCAAAGCATGCGGTACAATAACGGTGTTTTCCGATTAAATATTTGTCGTTATTATTATTATCAATTATTATTGCTTGTGAGTAACACTGTTAAACTTTTTAATCGAATCCATTTGAAGGAAAGAGTCCTCTAGTTTAACCAGATTGCTCGCCAGATTGCACAACGTCGAACGAAATTGAATACGACTGTTTTCTCGTTGCCTGTTTCTCTTCGCCCACTTCTTGCGCTGCCTGAGACATTACGGACGTTACAAGAGATGCGAAGTTGCAAGAAAGGTCCCCGACTACGCGCAACGTTCCTCTCTGCGCAACACATGTTACATCCGTGCGCTTTTCACGTGCTCTCCCGCAATAATATGGATACATACGCCACGCACGTGACGGATACTCGCCACTATCCGTTCCCTTTATTTTTCTCTATTCTTTATACTGCACATCCGCGAACGGAAAAATTACGACATATTCTCTCCTCGATGGTTCCCGGAACGTGCCAAAGTCGCGAAGATGTCCTCACGTCATAACGTCTTCGCGAATATATTTTGCATTTTAGATTTTGTATCTTACACTTTAGGAACGTAGGTCCGCACACGGGGAATTTTCCCTGAGGTATTTACCTGTTCTTTTACAATCCTGTAGTCAGGTAGTTTATCCTACAGTCTACTAGTTTACCTAATTCGCTTTACCTTCGACGGTCGCACTCGCTCTGTAATATCTAACAATAAGATGCATATCTTTTCGCTTACGTCATTAATGCATAACAAATCCGCATGAAGTATGCGGATACGTACGATTATTATTTCATTGCAATGACTTATAGTTACTTTCCGACTTTTACCGACCTATATTATTAAAATTTTTTTTAAAGAGATTCAAGCATTTAGATTATAGTCTACGCGTTTAAAATTATGTTAAGAATTAATGTGAAATATTAATTCCCTCTTCTTAGTATTTCTATATGCAAGAATATAATATGTAGTAATATAAAATTACCTATAATTTTTGACGAGTGTTTTTATAAGATATAATCTTTTATGTTTGAATGTAAAACATAACTGTCTTTATTTTAAGTGTAAAAAAAATGATATATCTTATAAAAAAGCGAAGTAACAATAATCACCAGGAAAAGAATTATAGAAACTTATTGCACGACTTATCGATTAATCTGAAAATTTCACGCTCAATCATACACGGCTTATAAACCTATCGCAGAAACGGGAGTGCCGAAGCTCTCTCTCTCTCTCTCTCTCTCTCTCTCTCTCTCTCTCTTTCTCTCTCGTTCTCACGCGCACACTTCTCACAAAGAGCCCGCATATCCCGGTCTGATATCTCTGAATATAGTTCGGCCACCATGACGGAAACTGACTCCCATTAGCCGTTATATTTAGTGGCATGAGAATCTGTTCGGGGTTGAAAACACCTCCCCATGAGATTCGACAGCTCACCCTCATAGGCCCGTATGTTACAGCGTGTACCATGACACTCCCTAATTGGACAGGAGTCAGACTCCTTTGACTGCCGCATATGGTCGATCATATCTACGATAATAAAGAGGCAATCTTATTTCGTGATTGATATATTAGTATCGTTAACTGATCATCGCATTAAGCTTCCGAGTTTTCGAAAAGGAAAAGGGAAGTCACGGTGCTCGCGACGTGTCGATTAAAACAATATTACGCTGTAAATTTGCTTTCTTCATTGGATAAAAAGACTTTGAAAATAATAATTGGTGCGATTAAGAATCAAGAGATATAGCTTTCCTCAATAACTCATAAATCATTCTTTTATCTGAAGTGGTCGATATGTATTTTATCGTTCATTATTTGCCTCCTCACGAAAAAGACCATTGTTCCTCCGGCAACAATTTTAATCGGCGTTTGACATTGCGCCGCTGTGAAATCAGCGGGGAGTCTCACTTCCTACTCACGCGACCTCGCGGCAACCGAACTTCCGGCTTTCCCTGCGCGAAATGTCACTTCCCTCTTCGATTAACGGCGTTGCTGGTACGTGCAAAATTCCGTAAAAACGTTTGTTCTTGCCTTACACCAGAAACTGAGAAAAAAAAACAGCTAATTATAATTAACTCGACCAGATACGTGACATTCTTCCTAAACCGACAAGCACATTTTTTCACGTGTCTCGTTATACGCATTTCTGTAATTAAAACATCGAAAATTATGTAAATCACGCTGATAACAGAATCCAGTCGACTTAACGCGTAGCGACAACCGACATTATTAATTTTTGAAAAACATTTTCAGAAAGATTTCCTTCTCCAGTATTGGTAACTGCCAACTAACCTGTTGCTGATTATTTTACATATACACATATTATATAAATTACATATATAATAATTAACATATAATATACAATATGGTGTTTGCGATCCATTTACGTCGGAAAGTAATTAAAAGCAAATTCCTACACACCGCAATACTTCATTACGTAAATTAATTTATGCGTGACAACTGTATCTCGCCCGGGGTAATGAATCGATCGTTAAAAACTTACGGACAATTGCTGCTGGCGGCGTAATTTACGCTTGCGGTCGTAAAATCGTAACGGCGATCGACGACAAAAAAAAAATCGTAACGAACATAGACAGTTTACTGCTTAGAATCTGCGGTCTGCGCCGCAGGTGAATAAAAGCTGAATTTCATTCATGCCGCCGTATGACCGCTGGAATGCGCTCGAGTTGTCGAGCGGCTGAGACAGCTGTTTCTATGGAGTATATATATGGTTTTGCATTGCAGCAATAGAGAAAGAAGAAACAATCCCCCATAGCCGCATTCAACTCTATTCTCCCGCTTCGGAGTAACGATGCTTGAATAACGACGATCGAGGAACGTTGGGCGTCTCGATTCGCGATCAAATTCTAACAAACGAACATTTCTCTCATCCTGGGACGTTTTCTTATTTTTCAGTTATCGCTCTATTATCTTTCTGTTAATATATAAAGTGCTCGTTACGTACATTCGCAATATTTATTACATAAGTGCGCCGCAGGATACCGGCAAGTCCAGCCCTTTTGCAAAAGAATAAAGAATCCAGCGTTTCCGCGAAGCTTATAACGTTCTTACGGCGAGATCGTTGGAATCTCAATAAAAAGCTGTTAGCCTCTTTGCAACGTCCTATTATGCTGTTACGATCCCATTATCGTTTCTACAGAAAGTCTGGCGTAACTTGCTCTCGCCCGACTAATCGACATGTAGAGAGAAAAAAAAAGTAATCGGCAATAATCAAGTGAATCTCGGAATACTACCTTGCTGAGGGAAATTCGATTCGTACTCCATGACGAGACGCGCGACGCTCTCGGCGTCGTCCATCGCGTATCGGGGCATTCGGGGCCGCGTCTCGCGATCTAGCCCTCGGGGGGGGGGGGGGGGACCGGGAACCGGGGATTAAAACTCGCCTCGGAGGGATGCGACCCCGAATCCCGTCCAATAAGGGAGCCCGGGCCTGCGGGATTGGAGAGAGGCGCGGCGGAACGAGTGGTGGACGGGAGAGCCGTGGAGGACAATCGTGCGCCGACATGCCGACGGAGACGGCCTAACCAGGGCCTAACTTCACGTGAGTCCGAGCCGCGCGCCGCGCGCGCGATTGCCACGTCGAACTGGAGAGGAGCGGCGGTCGGTCGGTCTCCCCCCCCCCCCACCACCGCGCGACGCGGCGGGACGGCACGCGATTGGCCGGCGCGTCGGTGCTGCAGAAAGTCTACCCCGGCCTGCCGTGTCCTCCCGCGGAGCACAAGCACAAGCTACGACTTTCAGTCGACGGCGCTCTCAGTCAGCTTTGGGAGGCTCTGTCCTAAACGTTAAAACGCACGGTGGTTGTACCGGACTCACACGCAAAAGATACCCGGCTAAGATTTTTCTTCCCCTCTCCGCAACGACGGGCGTAAGTCGACGAACGGAAAAAAGAAAACAGTGCCAAGTTCAAGTTCGTTAAAACGCGCGACAGCGAGAGAGAAAGAGAGAGAAACCGCCTGTCGATCTACGCGAGTATTTACGAGTAAAACTCGACGACACACACGCTGTCGCGAGGTCGATCGGAGAGAGAAGAGAGAGAGAAAGGAAGACAGACAGACAGAAAGAGCCGGTCGAACCGTGCCAGGAAGCACGAATTCGAGAAGCATATACGCGTTCTCCGTATTCGCGCGCGCGCGCACGCCCGCTCGTACGTTCCTGTTTTTTTTTTTGTTTTTTATTATTATCGAACGTTATTAGACACGTGTCGATCGGGATACGTACTGTTTATTTTACACGCGTGGGTGCTTCAGATGCGAGCTACGACGACATCGTCGGCGGCGGCGGCAGCATCGCATAACGACGCATACGGTCGTAGTGGCAGTTTTATTGTGTTCTGAGGAAAGTTTTTTTTTCTTCTCCTCCCCCAATCGTTCGGCCCCCCTCCCCCTCTTCCCACCGCCAAACGCCGACCTCCCTGCGCCGGACTTCATTTTTCGCGCGGCCCGCTGCGAGAGGGACGAGAGAGGCAGAGAAGGAGCGGAAAAGGATCGGACAGAGACGACGGGCTCCAGGTACAAAGTGTGGTTTTTGTGCGACACCCGGGGAACATGTCGACCGCCGTCATGAGTAACACCTCCATGTTCGATTGCGGCGAGCATCTCTTTAAGGTAAGAACTCATCGATCTGTCTACATAGATTTCGATCGTCGCCGCACGTTATTTATAAGTATTGTTTACGCGAGCGCACAGGCTCGTACGCGACGTTATCGGGCTGTGCTCTCCTCGAAGCCCCGAATCGTTCGAACTTTATAAACAGATGTATCTGACTTTTGCCGATTAAGTATTTAGAAGAGAAACGTATACCCGATGTCGCGCATGTGATGAAACGTACAAAGACGGACGGACGAGGACAATCCGCCACGCTCGAACCTCGTGTAAAATAAACGAATGTTAACTCTCCAAGGGCATTAGCTGGGCATATTCTGCGCCGCTGGGAGTATAACTGCACGGACTCCCTGCCGAACGTTTTTTTTTTTTTCCCAAAATTCTCTTTGATCTATCGCCGTTTTTCCGGCTTTGTCCCATGTGCCTTTCCATTTCGTGAGCGGTTTACAGCCGGATATCCGCAGGTAGATGTTTCTACTCCGGCAGGTATATACACGTAGAACGAACGAGGAGTCCGAATTTTGAGCCAAAACATTCGTTCGCTGGTGTTCGATCCGATTGGCTCGTGCGGCGAAGCGGCATATGGAAGGAGTTAGAGTTTTTGTCGAATAAACCATTATTTCGCACTCGTTTGTTCACGTGTATATCCTGGAGGGAGAAGAAGACGGAAAGAAAAAAGAAAGGACAATGGTTCGGCTTTGTTCTACGATTTACAAGGTAGAATTTTCATTTCATTATAGAATCTTGAAGTGGTCGCGGTTCGGTTTTACGACGTTCCAACATTCGAGGATCAATTCTCTCGAAACTTGAATGTTTTTAAATTTATCAGACACACATGCATATAGATCGCAAATTGTCTTTGCGCACGAGATCGATCCACTCGTCTCTCCGCGCGCGTGTAATTACGGACGTCGATCTATCGTGTCTTTTAGCGCTTTATTTTTCTCGGAGATTATTTTACGCGATGAGGGTCGAAGATAGCCGTTTGCCGCGCTCCGGGTGGATATTAAAATCCTCGATCGTATCGTTTCGGGACGGTCTCTTCCGCGCCGGGTGATCGAATCTCGTTTCCACGTTGCACCGTCATCCGCGTTTCCCGTTCGCCTTCCGCGGTGGTGGAGGCGATCGAGGAGGAGCACGAGCAATGTCCCACGACAACATGCACGCGTGAATCGAGAGATCGCGCCGCGAGACACGGGAAACGGGCGCGCGCCGTAACTCGAGCTATAGCGTGGGCATACGAGCGGGAAAAATATCGGGCAACGGGTGACTGGATCGAGAATGGAGAGAACCCTAGAGAGCCCACCGACAGACACACTCGTCCTGTCGTTCGTGTGTCTAATGACGCTACGCGTCCGTAACAGAGCGAGAAAATATCCGACATTTAGAAAGCGAAAGAAATTTTCTCCGGGATATCGAGGCAGATGTATATATGCGAGATTTGAAACGCGACGTTTATTGATCGGCAGACATTCCTCGATGTTTGTGACGTGCGTATCTTTGTTTAGCCTCGTCATATCCTCCGATCTTGCGATACCGATGTAGTTGACAATTGTAACGTATTATCAGTCGGACGGAAAAAAAAATATCGAGAAACTTTGATAAACGTGAGACCTTGTGGGGAGATAATTTACAAATTTCTAAATCGGAGGCCACACACAGTTGCTTAATCGCAAACACGGTTTCTGAGCGACGACGCTGAAAATTGTTATCGGGATTGCCTCACAATTAAATATATAGATGATAAATTTCATTTTACAGTATATTCTTGTAAAATTTATCGTGTTAAAAATTCTCGCTTATCAGTTTATTATTATTATCTTGTCAGATATGCATAATCTGGAAATATCAATATTTTTCACCGATATGTATATCGATCACTATCTCGACTCAAATTGTAATAAGATACGATACAGTGGTATTTCCGAAGCTTTTCTTTGTCGACTCAAGTGTTTTCGATTGTTTCGGGAACGATTAAAATCGACCCTATTCATGAGATTATTCTTAATCTTTTAGAGAAGAAATTTTTTATATTTTTCACAAATAGTTTACCCTCAACTTTTGAACTTCGATTCTGAATGCAGTATATTCATACGTGACTTGATTTGTACTTGATTTGCGGAGTTGACAAAAATTGTGACCTACATTAATGACTACAGGCCCGGCGAGATCGAGATCAAATCGTCGGTCGAATCAGTCGAATGTATTAAGGGGATACCCCAATGTGTTTCACGATATTTTTCAGGAATTAATTTCTAACAAAATATTTATGAGAAACACCAGTATTTTATTATTATTATTATTATTATTATTATTATTATTATTATTATTATTATTATTATTATTATCTTCTATACACATTGAAGAACGTGTCAAAATTTTGTTGCCTAAAAAAATATGAAACTCGTCGAGTTAAGTCGTTTCGCGCATCCCTATGATTTTCGGATGGTGTACATGATTTCGCGAAAACCAGTCTGAAACAAAAATAAAAAATATGCTCATTATCTACATTGTATTGGCTTTCGTCTGACGGAGCATTTTATTTATTTTTTTTATTTTTTTCTCGTCGCCAAAAATGAAAAAAAAAAAA